AGGACGAGGAGGAGGAGGAGGACGAGGACGAGGAGGACGAGGACGAGAAGGAGAAGGAGGAGGACGAGGAGGAGGACGAGGACGAGGAGGGGGAGGAGCTTGTGCACATTATTGTACCATATAATACCATAATATCTAATATCAGTTTGCCTTTAACTATGCCGTTTGGCCATCGTCAAGATCAGCTGTTCACCTACAGATAGGTCACCGACGACGTGGTCATTTTACAGATATTTTTAATATTTTATCCGATAAAAATGTCTTTGTGAAGAACGGAATTAGGGGGAGCTTTCTCTATTTCTCTTCTATTTTTAATGGGGTTTGGGGTTTACAGGAGAGAGAGAGAGAGAGAGAGAGAGAGAGAGAGAGAGAGAGAGAGAGAGAGAGAGAGAGAGTGAGATATGGGGGAGGGAAGAGAACAAAAACTTAAATGGAAAATGCAACAAAAATTAGACAACGATTCTATTCACCTCATCAGCTACAGCAGCATTGAGCAAAGCCCAGTTTTCAGCGGCCCTGATGCCGGCACGCGTTGCCTTCCCCTCAAGTCCCGAAGTAAGCCCCGCCCACAGGTCTGGGCGCCATGCCAAGCGGCTGTGCAGGAGGCGTGTCGTGTTGAGGCGGACAGCAAGAAGTGCCTCTTTGTGGCGAACGTCGGGGGTGGTGTGCGAGATGAAGGCGCGGAAAGCGGTGCTGTTGGGGTACAGGGCTGTCAGGCTGTATGTATCTGCAGAAAGAGAAAGTTGCAAGATCAGAGGAGACACACATGAAACTAATTGCACCCATTTCCGTGAACGTGACCCAATCGAAACGGGTGTAATACCACGCGGCATTCTGTGAGCTATCTTAACCACGAGTTATCTAGTTGTAGTTTGCTTTGCTGACTTCACGTCATGTCGGAAAAAAAGATTAACATAAACTATGATAAATACTCCCAAAAACTCGAACTTCGAGTCAATCATAACGACCACAAATTTAGAAATATAGTATTCAGCATACGCCGTGATAAAAACTCCCCACATGTCGGAAATTAGAATTAATACAAGGTACAAGATGGGGCTCATGCCATAACCTACCGGAGCCCATGACAGCGCTGATCTCGGCCATCTGCTTGTCAGAGTCTAGGGTGAGGTCGGAGCGGAAGGTCTCCACACCGTCCATTCTGTTCAACAGTCTCAGCTTGGATGGGCTGCTGCTCACAACATCACCCACAAACTGGATATTGTTCATGGGGCTAAACATCTGTGGACGGAGTAAGGATTGACAATACAGGTAGGTGTTTTGACCCCCCCCCCATCCCCACCCCAAAGAAAAGCAAAAACAAAAAACAAAAAACAGAAAAACACCCCCCCTCAAAAAACAACAACAACAAAAAACAAAACCAAAAAACCCAACAAGAACAACAACAACAGCCCAAAACAATCAACGCAATTCAATTCACTTAAGAAGCGTTCTGCCATGATCCTATCTGCCAGAGTCAGCCCAGGCTGAGAAGAATACAACGTCCAAGTAGAAAGACGGGACATTCTGGGGAAAAATCTCCCCAAAAGAAACGGAACTAGTGGCATTTATGTTTGACTTAGACGGAATACCTTGTATGACTTTAGGCTACAATTTTTCCAAGGGGTTCTCTGTCCGAGGGGAGGTTTATGGGTTTTCCGGTGCAGCCTTCTCTTTTTATTAGGTGGGTTTTTGTTTTCACGTTCTTTATCTGTTATTACTATTAACGGCAAAAATAAGGTTTAATCTCGCTTACTACCCATAACCCACATGTTACAAGTGGAAACTAAATAGAAAAAAAGAGTAGAACACCTGTTTTTAAGGAAACCCACCTCACCTGTAAAAGTATTTATTCTCACAGAAGCAGCATAGACAGGTAGCTCACTTTCCGGGCAAAAATGTATCAAATGAAAACTATTACCTGCAGACTGATTTGTTTCTTGATTTTGTTAATCTCAGCAAGCATTGCAAGGTTCTTGGTCTGTCTGCTGGCGGTCAGGTAGCTGGTATCCAGGCCAGCGGTCATGCGCTCGTCAGAACTGCCCAGGTGCGAGTTCATCTTGACGTCAATGTTGGTATACGGGTGACTCAGGCCCAGCTCCACGCTGTAGTTGAAGTTGCTGTAGTAGTCAGAGATGTCCTGTACCTTTGAGGTCAGAGTCAAAGTCTTGCGGGCGTCGCTGGAGTAGGAGACGTCGGTCTTGGAGTCCAGGATAATGCGGCCGTTCTTCAGCATGAGTTCTCCGTCCACACGGATTTCCTGTGATTAACGAAATAAGATCAACAAATGAAATCTAATTAAAAAAAAAAAAGTTGATTCCCGTAGAAAATGTTATGGATTTCTTCGGCTTACATACAGGCGAACGTACAAGAATACATACGTGCATTAATTCATCTACGTAAAATAATAAACAATATTAAACCAATACTGGCAATATGTTACGTTGTATTATTTTTAAAAATGTCATTGCTAGTGGTTGCTTTGAGCTAGAGATATGATGTGCAGCTCACTTAGAGGGTTTAAATATCAGACTGATACAGTTGTATTTTTCTTAACCAAGATATTATGTCGAACTGAAACGCATGAAAACAGATAGATCTATGTCTCTAAGAGTTCTTGATATAAAAATACCATATAATACTCGTATAAATGTCTCCGTTGACTTACAAACTGAAGAGTAATAAAAAGCACTTTGAGAAAAAGAGAGAAGTCATTGATTTGTTTGTTTGTTAGTTTGGGTAAGGAGCGCATCAACACAAGAATGGTAAATAGCGTTTGGAAAAAGAAAGACAGACAGACAGACAGAAACAACATAGGGAAAGTAAAAAGGTAAGACCTACCGTTAGCACCCTCTAACCACCCCTAAAAATTACGTTTCATCCAGACGGCTCTAAAGAATATTATTATTGGCAAGCGTGCTAGACCTAGGACGTACATCTTTTATTGAGCAAAGGCGGTTCGGTGTAAATAAATGGACAAGTCAGTATGACTTACTTTTTTGATGGATGGCATGCTCAGAGTGACGTCACCACGGAGAGATTTTCCTCTGGTCATCTTGGCCTTGAGGCCAACCTGTTTGGTGTCATCGCGTCCTGCGTCCCAGTTGAATGTGGCGTCAGCGGTTTTAGCTGCTGGGCTGTCACTGGAAGAAAATCAGCCCCCGAGTTAGCGTGAGAGGGTAGTTTTTGTTTATGGTACACTTTTCAAGTGAGTGTCATCGGTGTTGCAAGCATTCCACTTAAGTCTGCTTGGGAAGCCCTACTCTTTACACCTGAGACCAAAAAAATCTAGTTTGTGTGATGTTGTTCCTGTCAGGAATCATGGAAAGGAAAAAAAAGTGTAAGCCCTGGCCATAGCATTAAACTGCAGTTTGGTGATGTTGAAAGGTGAATTTTTGATAGGGTTTTGGGAAGGTGTAAACATTGAAAAATCTCATAATTTTAAATCTTGTTGATGCTTCCAACAGCGACGGTATTCTTTTTGTGTTACGTAAATGAAGGAGAGTGGATGACGTGGTATTTAGAGAGGCTTTACCTTATATCTTTTTTTCAAAACATTTATTTCATGTCATTGTTTTTTGTTATAATATTAATAATAATAATAATAATAATAATAATAATAATAATAATAATAATAATAATAATAATAGAATTTGTATAGCGCATATCCCCGCTCAACTGCAGGCTCTATGCGCTTTACACTATATTATTACCCCAGCAGACCACAGGACACTCCGAAACATTCTCAGCTTCCCGGGAAGCATACAGTGCAAGCAGCTGATTAAGCGCTCAAACACTAACAAACTGACACGATCTTTCGCTGTCTATAGCCGGGTACCCATTCCCACCTGGGTGAAGTGAGGAAAATTCGTGTAAAGTGCCTTTCCCAAGGACACAACGTCGGGCCCCTGACGGGATTCGAACTCACGACCTTACGGTTGCGAGTCCGAGAGACTGACCACTAGGCCACCGACGCCACTTGTTATTTAAAAAATATTGTTCAAGCCAATATCATTGGGACAAAAGAATTATGTCTCCCGAGTTATTACGGCGGGTTTTCTCCCCTTTTCTTAGCCTAAAATATATATACTACACTTTGCTTTAGATTGATTTGGTTTATTCTTTCACACAATAATATGTTCTTTAGATGTGGTAGAACTCTACCTAATAAGGAGAAATAAATGCTTCTTTTTGCTTTTGTTTCTGAAGGATACCTCACAGATCCGGCCCATTCCAACGTTCTGGAGGGAAGTCCCAGTTTAAGGCTGGCCTCTGAGATGGCTTTGCTGCGACGGCTGCTGTCGGCCATAGTCAAGTCGTAGGACACCTGGTCCTCATCGCCAGAGTCCCAGTAGAACTTTCCAGTGCTGGTCAGTTTGGCGTCGGACAGCGTCTGAGTGTTAGACACGCCCATCTTGCGGGAAGCATGCTCTACGCTGATGTCCATGGACCTGTCGGTGAGGTAGGAGTCAGATTTGTCGTTCATCACAGCCACCACACGGACGTTGCTGTTCAGCTCATCTCTGCGGGAAGACAGTGAAAGAGTTGATGTTATCCAACGGCGGTATAAATTTGACTATATGTTATCTTTAAATCTTTTACTCCCAGATCGGCACAATCTAAATGATTTTAGAGGCTGACTTTGTCACCATTGTCTGCTAAAACTAATCCTGGGATCGTGATATAAATCATCCCAACTTGGATAAAACAATTTCTCCCACGAGAGTCAAAATACGTAGGAAAAGCACATAACCGTTCATTTTCGGCAAAATATGTGATAACAGCGCCTTGGTGTGAATAATTCTTGCAAAAAGTCTACATATGTTTCTCACATTGTTTTTGTTTTGAAAAATCAACACAATAAATAAAAATGATGTTTTAGAGTTCGAAGTTTTGTCTAGACAATTATGTCATGGTATCCAGTAGAAGCAGACTTTGAAAAGCGTTCTTTACCTGTTCCAGTTTGCCATAAGGTCAGCCTCCATCTTTCCGTACTGGCTGAAGCCGCTAGCGGTGTACTGCATAGCCCATGGCTGGGTAAAGGTCACGGTAGCTTCGCGTTTGTCACTGTTAATGTACTCTCCACTCATGTCCAGGAGTTGGGCACCGTTCATGTTGACGGCCAGTTTGCCTTCATAACCCTCCGACTTGGTCGTTTTTTCAGTCTGTACGGACAGGCTACGCACGGCGGTGAATGGAGTGGACATGCTGATGTCAGCGGTCGTCAGATCCTCATACCAGCCATCTTGGTGTCGGAAAACAACATCGGTTTGGATCTGGAGACGAAAGACGGAGTGTGTTGAATGTGATTCGTTACAGGACAACCTCTTTTTCTTATTTTGCCAAATACTTATGAAGGCTTTGATCGGAGAGCTAATTTGGCAGTCTCTTCTTTACACAATCATTTGGTTGTTAGAGGACTTTTAACACAATATATTTGTTGGGATCTGATTAAATAAAGAAGGGGGGGTTATAGTGTAGAAAGTGCTTAAAAAGTAATTTGTCTTTCATTTTGAAACATACACATTTTAAAATGAAATGTTAAAGCATTGATACTCTGAAAAATCATTCAAAAGTCCATATTATTATATACTCCAAAGCTGGATTTATCTCTCCATGAGAAAAGTTTGTGCTGCTATAAAGGCAATATAGACAGTAGATAAAAGAAAATATATCCATCCTAGTCGATTTAAAAGATGATATATGGAAAAGTTCAATAATATACTTCTTGGCTTTTAAACAGAATGTTATTAGATCAAACTAGTGGAAACCTGTGGAATTGTATGTACCTGGTGTCCGTCAGTCCACCCGGCGATAGCGTTCATCTTCTTCTCTCCGGAAGCATCAGAGTTCTTCATTTCGAATTTGAGGTCGTCCATGCCAGCCATTGAACTCTTCATGGATGCACTCACGCTCATGTCGTAGGGGCTCTGGTAGTCAAGAGAGGCTTGGGCGTTGACGTTGTCGGTGAGAGGTGAGGCCAGGAACCCAGTGGTCTTGAAGTTTGTGAGCTGACCTTCGTGAGTCAAAACCAGCTCCACGTCACGGAAGTCTGAGTATGGGGTTGAGACCTTTGTGAAAACCCTCATGGGCTCCACGGAGTAGTCCAGGCCGGAGCTCATTGTGTACTGAGTACGTCCTTCAATCTTGAGGGAGCTGGAGGTTTCGTACTTGTTGTAAGAGCTGTCGTAGGCGGCTGAACCCTGGATGCTGCTGTAGCCGTAGATGGGAGTCTTGAGGGTAACACTGGCGTCAAAGGATGGGTAGATGGTGGACTGCAGCTCAGCGCTCACCAGCTTGCGTCCGTTCTCATAGGTCAAAGAGGCAGAGCCGTCTACGCTGGAGGAGTCGATTTTGTGTTCGTAGTCGACTTTTGTGAATTCGAATCCTGCAATAGGCGTCTTCACCTCAAGAGAGCCGTCGAGCTTGTTGGCAGAGAACAGGTTCAGTTTTCCGTTGGCGTTGAAGGCTTTGTTGTAGCCATATGTGAGGCCACTGGTAACTGCGTAGCTTGGGGCATTCAGGTCAGCGGTAGCCATGGCACGAACGTTCCTGATCTCGTAGAAAGGAGTGTTGATAATTACAAGGAGGTCGTAGTTTGGAGAGTAGGTCAGTTTGACATTGCTCTCAAGTGTCTGTCCATTGCCGTACTGCAGAGAGGATGAAGCGCTCATGCTGGTGGACCTGTCTTCATACTTAACCTCAGCCTTGGTGGTTTCCAGTCCAGAGAAAGGTGTGCTCAGCTCAGCAGAAGCGGTAACACGGCGCCACATGTACCTGTAGAAGTTTAATTTGCCGCTTATGTCCTTGCTGTCAGCGTAAGTCATCTTGCCTTCAAAGTTGAACCTCTGGGTATTTCCGATATGGCGGAAGTTCATGCCGATGTTTCTGTAGCCGTTCAGTGGTGTCTTCAAGTCAATGTAGCCCGTCACGTCATCAGAAGAATCGAAACCTCCATTCAAAGTGAGAGTGCGCCCCACGCCCAGGTTCACGTTGCTCTCCAGTCTGTATCTTGGTCCGGTTGTGTCCAACAGATAGATTACGGACATGTCTTCGTAGCTCCTGAACGGAGTCTGGACATTGACTTTTACCTCAGAGTTAGGGTAGTACACGACCTCTGTGGTACTCTTGATCACCTGGTTGGCTCCGTACATGAGGATGCTTGTAGAGGAGGCTTGTCTCCTGTTGTTCTTCTCTGTGTACTCATATCTGGTCAGCTCGTATCCGCTGAAAGGCGTCTTGAGTTCGGCAATGACACGCACGCTGTTAAGTTTGAACCCAAATTTGCCAGATATGTCTTTGTTGTCCATGTATGTAATTCTTCCCTCTGAGTTGAAGTTTCTGAGTTCGCCGGAGTGCTGGAAGCTGAGTCCAATATCGCTGAAACCCCTCACAGGCGTGGCGATAGTAAGGGATCCTGACATATCCGATCTCACGTCCATAGCTCCATTTACAACAAAGATGTTGCCGTTTCCTGCATTGACCTTTCCAGAGACGGAAGCAGTTGGCCAGTTGTTGACGAGAGAAGCAGATGCCATCATGTCCTCATACCTGTAGAAAGGTGTCTTCAGTGTGATGCTCAGGTCAGGGTTCGGGGACATGGTAGCCTTCATCTCATACGTAATTTTCTGCGAGTTTCCGTACTCAAGCGTCTGGTAGTACACAAAGCTGTCTGGTCCGCTCTCGTGTCTGTACTCGTACTTGGTGAATTCGTAGCCTTGAATTGGAGTTCTGACTTCAAGAGTTGTTTCAATGCGTCTGAGCAGGTACATGTAGAAGTCCAGTTTGGCAGAGTAACGGTTTCCGTCCCTCAGGGTAATATCACCGCTGCTGTGGAAGCGCTCGGTGTTACCAGAGTGCTTGAAAGACATTCCAACATTTTGGTATCCCCGGATGGGTGTCTTCACGCTGACTGATCCAGTGATTTCGTCCTTGATCTTGAAGGTACTAATGACCGTAGACTTGTCACCGTTGAGATCGCCAGTCACTGTTACGCTGAAGTTATCAATTTCGCCCTCTTTGTGAACGTTGAGAGATCCGCGGCTAGCGCCAAATTGGGTTGTCCTGTAAATGAGAGTACCCTGGCTGTCAAACACATCACCTCGGTTGGTCAAGGTAGATTCCACGGACATCATGTTGTCGGAACCTAACATGCCTGTTGCTTTGGTGTTGCTGTTGAGGTAATCACCGTTATGGTCGACTGTGAACTCCAAACTTGGTGTCATAGCGCTCTTGAAGTTTATGATTGTTTTAAGGGCTCGGAGCTGGAAGGAGTTGGTGATCTTGGCATATACCATGTCTGCGCCATTGTGAACGGCCTTGCCTTCCATGTTCAGGTCACTGAGGTCGCCGGTCTTGCTGAATCGGAAATTGCCGTCGCCGAATCCGCCAATAGCGCTGCTCATCTCACCACGTGTAGCGATGCTCCTCCTGTAGGTATCGTATTCGTGGTTAAAGGTCATCTTAGATGTTCCCAGGAGCTCTCGTGGTGAGTTCATTTCACTGGACAGTCTGATTGCTCGAATACCGTCTGCGGCAAATTCAATCTGGCAGTTAACGTTCTTGTTGTCCATATAGTCAAGAGAGGCTTGGGCGTTGAAGTCATTGATTTCACCACGGTGGGTCAACTTCATTCCTACATTGCGGTAGTCTCTGAACGGTGTTTTCAGCTGCACTGTTCCGTCAAATCCGCCGAGAGTCTTCAGAGCACCGTCCATGCTGATAGCTTGTCCGTTCAAGGAGGCGCTGGTGCTCATGGTCATGTCGCTCATAGAACCTCTCTTTGTCACAGAAACAGCAGCCTCGTCGTTAGCATACTTTCCCTTGACCTGAATGCTGAAGTTTTCGAGGTCTCCTGACTTGGTGTAACTGACACTGCCCTGTCCAAATCGGCCAATTGTGGTGGTCAATTTTGCTCCTCCGGTTAAAGCCATCGTATACTCGTCGTAGTCGTGTTCTACACTCAATTTAGCTGACTGTATTTCCCTGAAGGGAGTGGCCATCTCAGTGTTGAATCGGATTCTGCGCAGGCCATCAGAAGACATTTCCATTTTTCCATTGATGTTTTGGTTATCCATGTAGTTCAAGTTGGATTCGGTTCTGAAATTGTATACGTCTCCAGTGTGGGAAAGAGTAGCACCAATGTTTCTGAACTTGTTGAAAGGAGTTGCAATGCGAACAGTGCCTTCAATTCCGCCAAGGAGTTTCCAGGAGCCGTTCAAACTGACATCTCTTCTGTTGTAGCTGGCAGTTCCGCTGAAGGACATGTCTTCCAGCTCCCCGGTTCGGCGGAAGGTAGCTCTGGCAACGTTTCTTGGTCCAGCAAGTTTGTATTTGATCATGCCATTGCCACTGACGTCTGGCTGTCTATGGTCAAAGGCAAAGATGGTGTCAATGTCGTAGCGACGGCCATAGTTGAGGGACATCTTGTTGGTGAAACTGTTGATGTCACCGTTGTGATCAACGCTGAGCTTGAAGTTGTCACTGTATGGGGTATTGACACTGACGGTTGACTTCAGTGTGGAGGCACTCATCCTGTGGTTGAAGTTGGCTTGGGACCTGTCTCCATTGAGACGGAATGTGGCACCACCTCTCATGTTGTTGGAGTTGCCTTTCTTGTTCATGGAAAGTTCAACGCTCTCAAGTCCGGGGATAGGGCTGTTGAAGGTGAATGTGCCGGTGGTAGCGTATCCGCTGTTGAAACTTGCGTCTGCTGAAACACTCTTGCCGGCAACGTTTACCTCCCCGTGGCTGCTGAAAGCATCCATGTCGCCTTGGTGTCTAAGCAGCACCTTGTTTGACTCATAGCCGTAGAAGGGAGTCTTCAAAATCACAGTACCCTCGATAACAGAAGTCCAGTCCATGTTCACATCGCCTTCAATCTTCTTGTCAGGCTGGTAACGCACTTCTCCGTGGGACATCACACTAGATGGAGACTGGTTGTGCTGGAAGGCTACTCCCAGGTTGTCATACTCAGGGAAAGGAGTGCTGAGTGTGGCCTCAAATGCGTAGGGCATCTCAAGGGTGTAAGAGCTGTCGAGGCGATAGGTCTGGCGGGGATAATACTCAGCAGACACCGATGATTGTCTGGAGCGTCCTTTCATCTGGCTGGAGGTTGACAGCTCAATGTATGGGTACTCTGGGAAGGGAGTACTCACACGCAGATTTCCCTTCAAACCATCATCAGCATATTGCCAGTTGACAGATCCCTGGAGTTTACCAATAACTGGAACCATTTCAAAGTCAGCGGATCCGTCAAAACGTGTCATCATCCCTGTGAGTGTGAGGCCAGTATCCAAAGTCTGCATTTCGCGGAATGGAGTTCTCATCTTCAGTCTCAGCATTTTCTTCATGTCATTGCAGGCCATTCTGCTTTCCATGTCAATGTTTTTACGGACTCCATAGTCGAGATTCATGTGTGATACAATCTCTCCTCTTTCGTTCTTATTGGAGGCCTTCAAGACAATGTTGCGGTACTCTCTGAAAGGTGTGACAACTTTAACATCAACATTTGCGTTATCCCAGGAGGCAATGTTCAATGAACCTTCCATCACAGCCTTAGATCTCGGGGCCCAGCTCAGCTCAGCCGCTGCTGTCATTGGGTAGGAGCTGAATTTGCTGTTCATCTTGCCATCGATGTCTTCGGTGAACGGGGACACTATTCCAAACTTAAAATCAAACTCAGAGGGACGGAAATTGCCTTTCACGGAGGAAGAAGCCCTTATCTTCCCATCATGCTTGTAGGCAGCATTGTTCATGATAAGACCGTTTCCATGTTTGTGGCTGAGGGCCAAGTCAATGTTCCTGAGAGATCTCCATGGGCTCTGCATCTTGAAGTCAGCATTCATAACACCAGCATTCTGAAGGTCGTGAGAGGCGTCCACATCTACAAGCAGTCGATTCTTTCCCCACTCAGAGGTCATGGTTGACTTAATGTCTTTCTCACTGCTCCTGTGTTTCCAGGTTGACTTGACTTTGGCGGTGGGCATAGTTAGCAGAAGGTCTCCGGTGTTTCTGATTTGCCAACCATTCCTGTTATGATCCATATTCACGTCGTAGCCGTAAGACTTCCCGTTGTGGATAAGGGCAGCGTTGGACACAAGTCGTCCTGCGCTGTCGGCGTGAGCTAGGTGGAACGTCACGTCCTCGGCATTCTTCAGAGTGGATTTCAATGAAACGGTTCCCTTGATGTTGCGGTTGTACCAATCTCCAAGATTTTGGCCTTCGATGCTCAGTTTTCCATTTTCCTTGTCCCATCTTCCTTTCATGGTAGTTTTCAGAGTTGGATACAGGGAATGATCAATATCGACAGAGATAACTCGGAATCCTTTGAATGGCGTTTTGGTTTCTGTGGTAATCAGCAGGTTGCTGAGGGAGACGGGTCTTTTCACAGTGAGGCTAGATATCACCTGGTTTCCCTTTCCAGCCCATGAGAACTTGCCGCTGAGATCGTGTTGACTGTCGTCATTGCCATATTTGAAAGCTGTCATGATGTCTTCGTAGTTCTTGAAGGGAGAGTTGAAAATGAGGCTTCCTCCCACACTCATTGATTTCTTAGTAGACTTCATGTATCCAGAGCCATCAACGACAACTTTCTGGCTTTTGTCTCCGTCAGCGTCCCAAGCAGCTTCCATTCTGCCATTGAACTTGCTATTTTGCTTTCCTCCATCCATGAGTAGAGTCATCCGTCTTGTGGGGTAGAACAGCTCAACTTCAACCTTTGCGCTAGGGGCCTTTGTAATCATGGCGTTGGTTTTGAGCCCGTAGATCTCTTTGCCTCGCTGGACTTCTCCCGAGACCTCGAAGTTTCTTGGGTCAAGTTTGGTAGATCCAGACACAGTGACTGGTTTCATTCCGCTCAACAAGAACTTTGTGGAGAACTGGTGTGCTTTTCCCTTGGGGGTCTTGTAAAGCGTTGTGATTGTGTGCTTCATTCCAGAATTGCTTCTCAGATTCAGGGTATGGGTGTACTGTTTGGCAGACTTCTGGTCAACTCCAGTGGTCAAGGTATATGCTGAGCCCGGCCAGGCAACAACTGCTTTGCCGTTGATCTTTGACAGTTTTGAGCTTTTGTCTCTGACGATCAGCTCGGCGCTCAGGTCTTTGCCTTTTCCTCCGTAGTTGAGTACGACGTTGGAGTCGATCATCTTGGGTGTGTGCTGATGTTTGTGCACCAAACTCACATCTACTCCCTGTGTAGAAGATAGAGAGCACGTAGGGGCATTAAAAGTTGACTGAATTCATTCCACTTTACAATTTTATTTTAACTGTTTACCAAGCACAAAATTCAGAATTTCATGAACAAGTTCAGAAATGTTTTTGACTACCAAGCACCACGTTTTTCACCACGTGCTGATTGACTATTTTTTAGCACTACAAAAAAATATTTTTGAAAAGAAAAAGTACCGCTATCTGCTGCGAGTTGTGGTGTTTAGGATTATAACAAGTTCATTGATATCAATTCCTTTACGTATCTTTCTTTCTCCTTGGACGTTAAAGGTCATCATCAGTCCATGATGGAGGAAATATTACGTTATTATACTTTAGACAAACAGCAAAATGTATGACAGTCTGGTCCAGCATGTTCTAATTATGTTTTGATATCGATAATGGTAGTCTGGGACGTACCTTGGCTGGGGCCAGTGCGTTCATTTTAAATGTGAGGATTGCGTTCTTCCAGGTGGCCAGTTTCCTGTTCAGGGAGGTTGACCAGAAAAGCCTCTTAGTCTTGTCCTTGGGGTTGGGTCCATACTTGAGCTCTACTTCAGCCTCACTGTGCTTCTTCTTATGATCCAAGTCGACGTTCAGGTCCAGGTTGTACTCGGGGTTCTTTGCAATGTCCAGGTTGCTAAAACAAAAAGTAATAAGCAAAACAAAACTTGAGCAAGTCCATAAAAAAGAAAGTTTACCAAAAGCTTACGATTTTAAAAAAAATAGATTAAAAAAAAAAATTCCAATTAGAGATATTAACTGTTTGTTTCTTTTGATCAGTAGATGTAGCTCAACGAGAATACATTTCTAAAAAGTCAGAATTGAATTAAGGGCTGACTACAGAGTCTCTTTCCTCTTGAATACCGGTCTGTTGCCAATATGAGGGTCAAAGTGTCCGACTTTTAATCACCGTGTGTACATCACTGAGAGATAAATTTAAACAAACTTTAATGAAAACAAGTCATTGATTGTTATCTATCGGCCCAAGAATCCCTTAAAAACGTCTCTGCTTCAGAGTTGAAACAAAAAAGGCAAAATAAAAAACTAAGTAGGACTAGAAGTCTTTTTTTCACTTTCAATTCAAAACTGACCTCTTGATGGTGTACTTCTTGTAGGCCTTGGTGCTCCTGTCATTGAACTTTCCACCGAACGTGATCTTATTCTTTGCCACTCTGGGGATGGTGTATCCCAGGACGGTCTTGGTGGACAAGAGACCGGAGTCCTTGATGAAGGTGAAACTGTCCAGTTTGCCAGAGGCCACCGATGACTTCAGGATAACATCGATGTCGTAGCGGACACCTCGTTTCTTGGCGTTCTTCACCAGGGCAACTAGTCAGAAGGAGGGAATGAACCAGGTTAGTTGAAGAACAACGTAAGGGAGCTGAGATTGTTGAAAAGAAAAGAAATGTAGGAATCGGAAGCAAATGTAGGCACAGAAAGAAAGATATAATGAGACCTTTAACCTACCCCCCCCCCCCCCCCGGTAAACAAAAACAACAAAAAAGAAGTAGGGTCACATAACGATAGAACAAGCAAGAAAAAAATGATAATTACAAGGAAAGAAAAAAAAAGCAACTCTAGATAGTAGACTATCCAATGTCTATTTTAGAATAGTTGAAAAGCGCATAGTGTGTGCTGCAGTTTGTGGATATGCGCAGTATAAAACGGAAATATTATTGCTATTGTTGTTCTTGTTATTATTATTATTATTATTATTATTATTATTATAATTATTATTATTATTATTATTATTATTATTATTATTATTATTATTATTAATGTTGTTATTATTATTATTATTATTATTATTATTATATTATCATTATTATCGTTATTATTGTTATCATTATTATCGTTATTATTGTTATCATTATTATTGTTGTTATTACTATTTTTGGTGTTATCGTTATTTGTGAACTTTCTAAAGCACTGAAGAGGGGAAAAACGTCATTTTATACTTATTAATATATTGGACATAAAATATAACTGAAACGAACAGGCTTGGGAACAGACAAACAATAATCCTTACGTTTCATGTTGGCGGGCTTCTTGAGGAGGCGGTAGACGTCCAGGGTGCCGTCCATCTTCAAAGACTTATCCTCCCTGTAGTCAGCTGATCCTTGCATGGACAACATCTGTTTGGTGGGCGTGTTCACCTTGAGCATGCTCTTCAGGGTGGCGATCATCGACTTCTTGCCCATGACAGAGAACTGGTTGCTGGCTTCGAGGGTGTATTTGCTCTTTCCATCTGGGCTGAAGCTGGCGCTAATACTCTTTTCCTTCTTAGTGTTGGTCAGGGTGGCTGTGAAGGACAGGTATAGAAAGAGAAGGGTTGGCAGGGGGGGGGGGGTGTTGTTTAACATTGGTCATTGGCTATTGTCTTGGTTTAAAGCCATTTTCAACAGTGTATGATTATTATTTCAATGTAGTGTAAAGTACATAGAGCTTGCTGTCATCATATCCAAATGCGATATACAAATGCTATATGTTTCTTAAAGTTTATAAAGAGGCAGTACCTCTGAATGCAATGAGCACCTTTCATCTTTATTGGACCGAATCAAATGGGGGAGAGAAGCCAAACAAAACACAAATAAACAACTCGTTAACACCTCGTCAAGGATTCGTTCCAGGGCCATCTAGATCTACCCCGTAGTCCAGTATAATACCAACTACGCTACAGGTTCGCATACTTTTTAAAAACTTTTATTATTATCATACTTAAAAAAATATCTTATTTTATTTTTAGAATTATTTCTGTGTTCCAATATGCCACAGGTTTTTTTTCTGGTC